GAAAAATGCTGACGTGTTCAATACTTATTTTACCCGCTGTATCATGAAGGACGAACGTGCCTTCATCAGATTCAATGGGAATTTCAAGCCCAAGAACCACATCATACAGCTGCCAGATGGAACATGGATCACAGGGAGCGTCCAGGGTCCTCCTCTCAGCTTTCCCTCTGCTGGCTCATGGCTCTGTCCCTGCGCTTGAAGCTCAAGTTGTATGTAAATGAACCACATCACCAGCCAATCACAGACAGGCTTTCTTTTTTATCCAATCAGAGCACGTCTTGCAAATCCACTAAACCAAGAGGCAGAAAGGACAAAATTTTAGATGTATTAAATCAGAAATAGATAATAAGATATAGTTTATACATGTTGTAGCCCAGAATATTCAATTAAGCATACAAATCTGTTTACTTTAATTGTTTATTTTAGGCAATGTCATGATGCATCTCTGTAATCCAGGTAGACACAGAAGACACACAGGCTACACGTAGTACAAGCAGAGTCAGAAAGAAACCTAAATACTTGGAGTACTACGAATGCACAATGCAGAGCAGTGAGTTAACCATCAACTACTGTTATAGAGCTACAGTTGGATTACTGTGGTGTATGAACATTTCTTTCTGTCACAATCTCTAATCAATATTTATAGATGAGTGTGATAAATATGTAGCCTACTAAGTAGCTTAAGTTGGGAACAAGAGAGTGAAATATGAAGACAGCTGCATATTTTATGTAAGTGTGGGAGAGTATAGTGAGACCGCACTTGCAGAAAACTGCAACTTCTTGTCCTTTGACCTAAATAAATTAAGTGGGTGCACAAGAAGCCTTCCCCATGCCTTAGTGGGAAAAACCTAGATTCAAGTGAAAGTCTGTACAAAGTTCAGTGGCCTGCATGTGAGGCAGGTAACTGGGACGGACAAAGATGAAATGACCTTATCAAAAACTGTCCCAAAGAAGGAGAAAAGTTGAACATTTATGGGTGAGAGAAATGAGTTTTAGAGCAGGCCATGCCCTAAGGCTGGAACAATTTGATCTATAAAATGGCATGATCCCTCTGTCAAAAGTCAGTCAACACAGGGACTCTGGCTGCCTTGACTCAAGGTTTTTGACGTGCCAGGTGATTTTTGGAGCATGGGATAAAACGTTTTTGAACTGAACCTGAAGAATTAAAATTGGCAGTAGACTTGTTTCTATAGTAAACATATCACTGTTCTTTTCTAATTCAAGTCTGTCAGTCATTTTCCCCCTGAAACTCACCAGAGCAACAGAAGACCCTGGAGGATTTACATTCTTTTTCACTTCATTACCACAGACCTTTAAAGAGGCTATGGCATCACCTGTATCTGATAGGTGGAAAAAGGCGATGACAGATGAAGTGGCTTCATTTAAAGAAAACAACACCTTCTCACTTGTACCACTACCAGTGGGTAGAAAGACAGTGGGGGGGGGGGGGGTTGCTCTTAAGGAGGATGATAAAGGAAATGAGACATACAAAGTGAGGTTTATCGCAAGATGATACAGTCAGATAGAAGGACTTAACTATTCTGAAACATTTTCACCGACTGCAAATTCAACGTCCTTACGTGTGTTGATGCAGCAACCCACACAGCATGACCTCATACTACACCAGATGGACATTAAAGGGCCTTACTTACACGCACCTATCAACTGTGAAATATACATGGACCAACCCGAAGGTTTCCAGGTTAAACCAGAGAACAGTGTGCAACTTGTGTGTAAGTTAAACAAATCTATCTATGGGCTCAAACTATCACAGAGAAATTGGAACATGATGCTCCTTGAGTTTCTGGTTGTGAATGGGTTTGTGCTCAGCCAGAATGATCATTGTATCTACTGTACACAAATTTTTCTGACAAAGGAAAAATGATTTTGTTAGTATGGGTGGACAACATACAGTAGTTGTGGCAACAAGCAATGAGTTGTGTTTAAAAGAGGTCAAAGTGAATGCCTGGAGAGTACTCGCACAACCTCGTGGAGAGCTTAAATGGTTAATTTGATATCTCTCTGACCCCTGACCACTTACAGACCCCATATTTGGGTGAGATGGTCACCATGAAGAGCCAAACAAGGGTCTAAAATTTTGTGACCTTCAGACAGGTCAAAAAATTTCACAAAGGCCTAGAGTTTTGCTGCTGTAATTTGCTGTTTGTGGGGTCACCCTGAGCGCAACAATACCTCAGTTGCATCTGTACGGCCTTCCTAGGCCAAACGATCAGCAAAGATTACAAAAAGGTCACAAGGGTTTTTTTTTTTGCTGATCTTTTGGCTTAGAGACCCCAAAAT